AAAAAAAAAAAAAAAAAAAAAATTGTCACACAAGTTAATTAGAGAATTGATGGGATTAAATATATAAATGAGGTTCAATCTGCCGACTTTACAGAAATATTCCGCTAACAGCAGAACCGTGATGATAAATAATTCATAACGTTTATTATAAAGATAATTTAATAAATAATAAATAAGTAAAAGAGAGTAGAGTCATAGGAATTAGAGAATTCGACCTCACTGGCCACATAGGGGTACGAGCCGTCGAGTCACATTCATCCAGTGCGAGCCGTCGAGTCACATTCATCCATACGAGTGTGGGGTGCGAGCCGTCGAGTCACATTCATCCATACGAATGTGGGGTGCGAGCCATTGAGTCACATTCATCCATACAAGTATGGGTTCGCACCGTAATATAAACACTAGGGTGAAATCTACTTGTGAAATTAATTGAGTGTTGACAGAAACGGTAATCTTTTTAAAAAAATTAAATGTATTTAATGGTAAAAAATCGATGAGAACAACCTAAAAAATAGGACTAATTTTCGACATAATGAATAATATAGAGTTAAATATAAGACATGTTTTATGATTATAGTGAAATCCAGTATAACAAATAGCAAAATTACAACATATATCAATTATTAAAACTTTCATGTTTATATTATAATGTATGAGATCTCATTGTAACAATACTTAAATTTGTTTGTTATAAAATTGTGCTCGATCAATCAACTTTCTCATGCCACTTCCAATCACATTCATAATTAGAGTTTACAATTAATGAATGAAATAAAAAGGCGGAAAAGACTACTGTCCCGTCACGAAACTATTTTGTGACAGGAGTGCAGTCTTTTTCAAGAAAGGTGTTCCAGAATTTTAATTGTTAAATATAAATAGGTTTCTTGTTAATTAGTGCACAAAATAAATAAAAAAATTATCAATTAGGCAGTGAAGGCATTATAGGGTTGGTGTATATTTGATTAGAGATGTTAAATGGTCCTTGGCCCGACGGGCCGGCCCGTTTAGCCCGGAAAAAAACAGGGTTAGGGCTTTTTATTGGTAGCCCGTTTAAATCAGGGCTTTTTAGGCCCGGACCGTTTAAACCGAAGCCCGTTAGGGCTAGCCCGAAACCCGCTAGGGCTGGCCCGTTTAACTTAAGTTGGGCGTTGTAAATATTTGCAGCAAGTAAGTAGTATACTCTTAGATTCATTGTATATTAAAATTTTGTTATTCCACTTCACATATAAGTATGAGCTGTAACAGGTTATATTGATTTTGAAAGATAATTATTAACAATATTCTTATTGTACTCCACACCAAAATATTTAACTCAATCAGAACGACTAATAGGAAACAAATGAGACAAAGACCTAACACATGAAACATAGTGATAGAATTTATAGTGATATAATATCGTAAAAATTTCCAAAGCGTACAAAATATAAGTAGTGAAATGGTAATTGTAAGTAATAATTTGAATATTTTTTCTTTTTTAAAAAAAAAAAATATTCTTTAAGAGTTTGTAGTATGTGCTCATATATGATGTGTAGTTGTATATATAGAGCAGCAAATAATAAATACCGTCGAAAACAATCGTTAATTAGTCGTCGTAATTTTTTATAATTTTTTTCTTTTTACTTTTGATATTTTTTGATACATTATTATTAATACTATTATTAAAGCCCGTTTAGCCCGTTTAGCCCGAAGCCCGCTAGGGTTAGGGTTAGGTCCTTTTATTGGTAGCCCGTTTAAATCCGGGCTTTTTAGGCCCGGACCATTTAGCTAGCGGGCTAGCCCGTAACCGCTAGGGCTAGCCCGTTTAACATCTCTATATTTGATGCAATTAAATAGGGTATGGGCACCAACGAATTTTTTTATTTGATGTCTACTTCTTCTCTGAAAACCATTAATATTTTACTGGATTTTGATTTAGATGTTTCAGGTTGTGTAGTGATTTTGTGAAGCAATAAGTCTTATTAATTCAGTGTTTAAATATGGCAAATATATCGAACAAGTTGTTTGTATTTGGTCTATTTTGCCCATTTTAATAAATATTAATTAAATTTATTATTTTAATATGAATAATGTATAAAATCAGTATTAAAATTGATTCAATAAATATTAATTAAATTTATTATTTTAGTATGAATAATTTATAAAAATCAAATTAAAATTGATTCATACTAATAATAATGTAAACATCTTAAAACAAAATGTACAACTTTCAATTGATGTAAGAAAACTTGCAAAACATTAAAAAATTAAATATTTTATATTTTAGCGGTATTGGGCTATTATTTTTTATATGAACCAGTATAATTCAATATTTTGACGAAAACAATATTTAAAGGGTTGTCGTATTGAACACACCAACGAAATTCGATATTATCGATAATAGTAAACGGGTACGGAATCTTTATTTAGATGACCTAGTCAAAAATCTTTATCGATAATTCAGTATAAATATGTTGACTCTTTATATAGATGTAGATAACAAAGTTACCAACTTAAATTATAAATATATTTAAAAGTTAATAATTTTTTTTATTTATTAATAAATATTTTAGATAATATATCAAATTAATCATGTCATGATGAGGTTCGATTTGTCATTTATATTATACATACAAAATAAATATATAATATTATTTATCTCTGTAATTAAAACTAAACTACCTATTAATATTAATTTAAAAAAATAAATTTATTTAAACTAACTTAACCACAAAGTAGTTATTTTATATAAATTAAAAAAAAAATATAAAATAAGATGTGAAGTGTGTAAATGACTATATCATTTTAAATATCAACAATAATATATTTTTTCAAAATATATTTAAAAACTAAAACAATTTTTTTGCTTTTATTATTGTTTAATTTTAATATTTTTTTTTAATACTAGTTATTACCATAGCAGTAGAAAGGCAAAAAAAATATTCGGGCCGACTTTTCTAACCCAACACCTCTTTCTCTCTCTATCCCCAAAACCTTAGACGGCGAGCGACAGCTCTCGCCGCTGCATCTCAGCCGTAGCTTCACTTCTTTAGTGCCCAAACGCAAGGTAAAGCTTATGGCGTAAATGCTGTTTTCTCTCGATTATGGACTGAATTATCATCGGCTGCAAAGTTTTTGCACTAGGGTTTTGGGCGTGTTCGTCAGATCCGTTTTTTACTGAGCTGTTCGATTTTTGACTTGTGTTTGTTTAAGGAATCTTGCTTAGCTGCGATCTGCAAATATGTTCTAATTATTTGGAATTTTTTTGTGTTTGTTTTCATGAATTTGTAGCAAATGGGCACCTTGGCTTTTTCATTGGGTTTGATGGAAATTGTGTGTTACACTAATGTTGAAATTGGTTGGTTTTAGGAACATTTATCTTTCAATTTCTTTACTTTGGTTGTGAAGGATGGCATTGAAGTTGTAATGCAGATTTGTTGTATGCTTGTGTTGAATCATTTCGAAATTATCGGTCACCTGAAATAGGCGAAGAACATCTTATTTAGCCCCCGATTAAGAGTTCAGCAGTCTGAGAATTGGGATTTTGTGCAAGGGGAAGGTTTGTTGAAAGATTGCTATCGTTGGATTCTGTAGGAGTCCTTAATTTATCAATGTGGGAGCTTTTGTTAGTAAGGGCCAGTAACAAGTCCCGTCTTAATGCCTATTTTGTTAAAGTGACATCCTTAATCTAACAGTAAATGAGCATTGTTTATATTGAGATTCTGTTTGGTTGTGTTCATTTTACCGTAGTGGAGATGTTTTATAGCTTTCGTATGGCCTTTGCTGGTGTTTTCTCAATTTGATGACAGTTACTGCCAATTGTGATTGTCTCTTTGTAAGATTCCTGGCTTTTTAGTACTTTTGGAAACATGGGAAAGTAAAAGTCGAACTGTTACAGTATTTAACATCCCTTGAAGTTCCATTATGAGCTTGTGTACATGAAAAGTGTTGAAGGGTGAAGTGGCCTCATCGAACTTGATGATGGGAACTTAATATTGCAACGTTGACTCACCTGAATTTTATCATCGGGTAATTATGTGTTGTGTGGCTTGTTTGATGAAAGGAAAATTGTTGTGTTGTGTCATACACTGACTTGTGCAACCACTTTTTTCGGGTTGGATTTCTTATCATTTGCCTTTTATTTGATGTGTAGAATATACTTCGGTAGTTCATGGCAGCAAGACTAAAGCAATTGCAAGGCAAGGCTTGCGAAGCCACAAAATACGTGGCCAAGCATGGAACTGCCTACTACAAGCAGTTGATGGAGCAGAATAAGCAATATGTTAGAGAGCCACCCACTGTGGAAACATGCAATGCATTAGCCAAGAAGCTGTTTTACACTCGTCTTGCGAGGTTACATCTTTTAATTCTTTGTTGTGTTTAATTTGGAGCCCCCTACGTGTTGTTTTTTTCATTGCAAATTTAAAAGCCTTGAATGATATCTTTGTAATTTGGGAATGCCTGGTGCTTATTATGTTAAGATGTTCAAAACCTTTTTAGTTTACATGTGGTGACCACTATCGTTCTTATCATGATATCTTAGCTACACAGACTTGGGGATTGATGTAGTCAGTTTTGGACATGTGAGCTAGTTATGAACTGGTAAATTGCTGATAAACATTTGCGTGGTTGGAAAGGAGTTGGACAAACTTTTTGAGGGTTCTTTTGCTATTCCAAATATTTTTTTAGTTTAGTCCTAAGCTTCCAAGAATTTGAAGGATTTGTGACTATGGGCTCTAAGTTTAGCATTGTGCAAGTCAACTGTCTGCGACTTTTGAATATGAGTTTTCTGGTTTGACTTGCGTGAGACCTTTGGCAATTTATGCATATTGATCATGTTGGTGGTGGCAGACTGTAATGATATCTGGCTAACTACTACTTATTGAGATAGATGATTCGTCTATTTTTATGATATTCGATCCATTCAGTTGACTATTTCTCGTTGGAACTACAGCCAATCATAAGATTTTGCGGAATAGGAGATTATTTAGCTCAGTACTTTTACTTTGTTGCTTCATCATGTGTTAACCATATTTCCAGATCAGTAATTTTTTAGAGCCATAGCACATAGCACATAAATCTGGATAAAACGAAATGTTCGTCCTTTTACCGGGAAGATTTCTGCATCTGTTTTTCATTGGTTCCCTTGACTCTCATTGCAGTATCCCGGGCCGTACAGAGACTTTCTGGAAGGAAATTGATTACATGAAAAATATGTGGAAGCACAGGCACGAGCTGAAGGTCGAAGATGCTGGCATTGCTGCTTTATTCGGGATCGAGTGCTTTGCGTGGTTTTGTGCTGGTGAGATTATTGGGAGGGGATTTACGTTTACCGGTTACTACCCCTGAAAATAACTGCGAGTCACTAGGTCATCATCGCTTAGGTGCAAGATTTTGTTTTTAGTTTAAAGTTTTTTCAAGTTGAGATATCAGTGCATTATTAAGCTTGACGCCTCAATAATCAGTGATTGATATTTGAATTCATCTCTTTCAGCGTGGCCTTTATATTTTTTATTTTCTTATACTGCAATGAATGGCTGTACGTTAAAAGTTGTGGAGTTAATTTTTTGATTGCCGATAAAGACTTGCCAACTGTTTATCTTTCAGGTAAATCTGATAATAAACGAGCTCGTTCGTTTAGCCTTAGCTTGGTTAGTATGTTCACTGTGCTTGCTTTGCGACAGGATAATGATCTTCTATGGACGAATAATAGCAGTTACATTTTTTACATTTTTTCTCCTAATAGTACAACACCCGTGTATTACACGGGTGCTTGTTAAAAAATTATTTTAAATTTTAAAATGAATGAGAAAACTATAAAAATCTAGTTTACTTTTTTACAAAAAAAATATATATATTACTCTATATTTTAGAATAATATGTGTTACTTATGACTTATATGTGTTATATTATATTAGTTTTTATAACTTATACTCCCTCCTATTTTTTTTTTTAAATGTCATTCTAGCTTTTTCAACTATTTGCTAAATAAATGTCATTTTGGATATTTTGTACATATTTATCCATTATTACTATCATTTAGCCAATAAATACATTACGTCTTTTCATATTCACTCTTCATTTTTTTTCAAAACATTCATCTCTATCTTCATTAAATAAAGTTATTATTGACAAAAAAAAATTCTTAATTAGTGTGCAACTTCTCAAAACGACATATATTAAAAATAGGAGGTAGTATCATATAACTACTTGAAATATAAATATATTAGTTGATAAATATTTTATTTTTCTAATTAATATTAAAAATATTTTTATTATTGTTAGCGAACCGGACACTTTGGGATCAAGGGCAATCCTGTCAGCTATTCAATTATGTCTATTCTGTGATCGGGCGGAAAGAAGGAGTCCGAAGCTGGTATTTTGATCAGGAACTTCAACAAGTGTTGCGGCTTCAAAGAAGAGAATGAACAATGGCACGCCTCAACTTCGTCGACCCTCAATCTCTGATTCCACACAGCGGCTCACGCCGGCTTTGTGTGACCGCAGCGTGTTCCTGAAGAAGCGGAAGAGGCAGAAGAATTGGTCGACCCTTTCTTTCATCCCCGCTAGCGCTAGAAAGATAAATATAAATTATTTTTTTATACATACAATATGGATGTTAAATCGAAGTTTATCAAAAAAAGATTAATTTGATATATTACATATGTAAAATTGATAAAAAATGCAAAAGTTATTAACTTTTAAAATATATATACAATTCAATAGTTATAATAAGGAATTATATTAAAATGCAATTAATACATGTAACATGACCATAAATAATCCAACATATTTATGGTAATCTGAACCTAATTATTTTTTGGTTTGGAATTAAATTAAAATTTACTCAAGCATTAGAAGCATGTAATTTTGCCACATAGAATTTTGAAGCACCAGAAGCAACCACGTAGGCTCAACGCGTTCTGAATTAATATGTACTAGTACAACACCCGTGTATTACACGGGTGCTTGTTAAAAAATATTCTTAAATTTTAAAATTAATGAGAAAACTATATTAAATTTAGTTTACTTTTTTACCAAAAAAAATATATTACTATATATTTTAGAATGATATGTGTTACTTATGACTTACATATGTTATATTATATTAGTTCTTATAACTTATATCATAACTACTTGAAATATAAATATATTAGTTGATAAATATTTTTTTTAATTAATATTAAAAATAATTTTATTATTGTTATAAAGATAAATATAAAATATTTTTTATACATACAAGATGAATGTTAAATCGAAGCTCATCAAAGAAGATTAATTTGATATATTACATATGTAAAACTGATAAAGAATACAAATGTTATTAACTTTTAAAATATATATACAATTCAATAGTTATAATAAGGAATGATATAAAAATGCAATTAATACATGTAACATGACCATAAATAATCAACATATTTATGGTAATTCGAACCTACTTATGTTTGGTTTGGAATTAAATTAAAATTTACCCAAGCCTAATAACGAAGCACGTAATTTTTCCACATAGAATTCCGAAGCACCAGAAGCAGCCACGTAGGCTCAGCGCGTTCTGAATTAATATATAATGGTGAATTGTGGAGGTTTTGTGGTCATAAAAAATCAAAAAAGTTGTCAAACCAATTTTTTTTTAAGATATTAGATAATTTTTATAACTTTAAAAACCAAAATTTAACTTATGTTTAATTTAATTGATATTATCAATATAATTAAATAATATCAATAATTTATTCCCATGATTTTGTCTCAACATTCTATCTTCCACTTTTAGGTCAAAATATTTAAAATTAACTCTAATTAAGAATTTATATCCAATCACCACATTCTCCAAGCGTTCAAGCTATGTTTCGCTCTAAAATATGCTCAGATTTTTATCAATTGACATTTTAATTTATATTGGTGTTATTAGTTAACCTATAAAAGAGAATCAAAAGAAAAAAAAAATTGTGAAATACAACTACATAATCAACAACTAGAAAAATCGTGAACAAGAATGGATGGTATTAGACATGGCCCAAACACGGACCAAGCCTGGCCGACGGGCCTATGTGCTAAAAAATAGGGACCCAGGCCTGGCACGGACCTATGCTCGTGCGGGGTAATGATCCGGTCAACCAGTTCTAGACCGGGCCGAGTCGTCATTTTTTAGGAAAAAAAAGATAAAATATTATTAAAAAATGGAAAAGCGGCCCGGCTCGTAAAAAATCCTGGTTTTAAAAAAGTCCCGGACTCATGGTCAACGGGTTTGATCGGGCAACATCTCCTTTTGTTGGCGAGGAGGACAGGCAGTGCGGCCCGTGGCCATGTCTAAATGGGAGTATTTTTTTTTTGGGGAAAAATTTTTTTCACCCCAATACAAAGTTACATTAAGTTTTTCACACTGCTCAATAAAAAATTTCACCCCTAAAACTGATTGCATAACTATAGTATATTCATCGCACAATGTCTTCGCACTTTAATTTTTTTTCATCCCAGAAAATGCGAAGGGATATGCGAATGCTTTCGTATTTTTAACTTTCGCACAATGTCATCGCGCAATTATCGCATATTTGTTGCACTATGTCTTTCGCACTTTTTGAGATGAAAAATTTAATTTTTTATTGGACAGTGTGAAAAACTTTGCCGGACTTAAAAACGGGTGAAAATAGAGCTCGGGTTCCCCATTTTATGACCTATAGACTCGCAGGGTCAGGCATGTCAAATGGTTGGAGAAGAAAGATTTTCTATTTTTATTTTACAAGCAGACTTTTCTTTCACTGCGAGAGACCTGTTAGCCCCTCGCCTCTGCATCTCAGCCGTAGCTTCATTCTTCGGTGTCCGATCATAAGGTAAAGTTATGATCCAAATGCTGTTTTCTCTCGATTTGTGGACTGAATTATCGTCATTCACAAACATTTCCGCTAGGGTTTTGCTCGTATTTTCGTCAGATCTATTTTTGTCTAAGCTGTTTCGAGTTATTTGTTTATTTGTTTATTTTTTAGGTTTGATGTAGGAATTGTACTTAGCTGCGATCTGAAAATATGTTTTTGATGATTTTGATTTTGCGTATTTGTTGGTGTTGGTGTTTGTGAGCTCATATGTGGAAAGGAAAGGCGGAAGGACTGTGTAAAAGACAGTCCTTGTATTTGATGAATTCGTATCCGATGAATGTTTGGTTTTTAATTTGGTTTTGATGCACAGTGTATGTTATCAAATGTTGAAATTGGGTTTTTTAGGAACATTTATCCTCCAATTTATTTCTCGTGGTTGTAAAGGACGACGTTCGAATGATAATGCAGATGTATCGTTTATTTGTATTGAATCAATTCAAAATGATTCTTCACCTGAAGTAAGTGAATCGCATCTTATTCGGGTCTCGATTGAGTTTAAAAGTTTGAGAATTGGCATTTGGTGCAAAGAGGGAAGTTTGGTTGAAAGATAGAGATAGTTGGATTCCTTAGGAGTACCTTACTTTATCAATGTAGAAGCTTTTGTTAGTAAGTGTCAGTAACAAGTCTCCATCTTTGTTAGCTGAGCTTTATTATAATGAAGTGTCATCTTTCTTAATCTGACAGATAATGGGCATTGTCTAGATTAGGATTCTGTTCGATTGTGTTCGTTTTAACTTGTGTTTAGTGTGTCACTATTTTGTGAATCCGGCATGGAATGAATTGGTAGTTTTGCACCTTTGAATAATATTTATTGCCGTAGGTTATTGAAATTAGTTGTCACTATCAGCCTTGTGCTTTTGGAAACATGAAAAAGTTATGCCAACTACTGTAATATTTGACTCCTCTTAATGTTGGATTGAAAACTTGTTTTCATGCAAAGTATATAAGAATGAAAATTGAAATGGCATAATTAAATTATGTATTGGAATATTAAATCATCCAGAGCTTAATGCATAACTCAAGAGTTGACGCACTGAACATGAATCCTTCTTTTTTTTTTTGTTTGTAAATGTGGATACTACCATCGCGGGGTTACTGGGTTAGATTGTCGGTGCATTTTGTAGCCTAATGATTGAAGGGTGAAGGCAGATTTCGGGGGCCGGGTAAAATAATGTTAGTCAAAACCATTTCTTTTTCTTTGGATTTTTTATCATTATTCTTTCTATCTACTGTGTAGAATATATTTCGGTAGCTAATGGCAGCAAGAATACAGCAATTGCAAGGCAAGGCTTGCGAAGCCACAAAATATGTGGCCAAGCATGGAACTGCTTACTACAGGCAGTTGATGGAGCAGAATAAGCAATATGTTAAAGAACCACCCACCGTGGAAACTTGCAATGAATTAGCCAAGCAGCTGCTTTACACTCGTCTTGCCAGGTTACATTTTTTAGTTCTCTGTTTTATGTAATCTGGAGT